GGGGGGGGGGGGGAACTGAATCTAGACAAGGATTAAGAGTCGAGAACGGTACAACAAATAGTCTTCTTTCTCTAACGATTTAATGAATCGTAAAAGCTTCTACGCTTCGCGCGGAAGGGGTAAACTGAATTCAGACGAGGATTAAGAGTCGAGAACTGTACAACGAATCGTTTTGTTTCTCTAATGATTTAATGAAACGTAAAAGCTTCCGCGCTTTGCGCGGGAGGGGGGAGAATCTAAATTCAGACGAGGATTATTTTCGAAAACGGTACAACGAATCGTCTTTTTTCCCTAATGATTTAAGGAAACTTAAAAGGAGGGGGGAACTGAATCTAGACAAGGATTAAGAGTCGAGAACGGTACAACAAATAGTCTTCTTTCTCTAACGATTTAATAAATCCTAAAATTTTCCGCGCTTCGCGCGAAGGGGGAAAAACTAAATTCAGACGAGAATCATTTTCGAGAACTGTACAACGACACGTTTTGTTTCTCTAATGATTTAATGAAACGTAAAAGCTTCCGCGCTTCGCGTTGGAGGGGGGGGAGAATCTAAATTCAGACGAGGATTATTTTCTAAAACGGTACAACGAATCGTCTTTTTTCTCTAATGATTTAAGGAAACTTAAAAGCTTCCGCGCTTCGCGCGGTAGGGGGGGGGGAACCTGAATTCAGACGAGAATTTAGAGTCGAGAACTCTACAACGAATCGTCTTCTTTCTCTAGTAATTTAATAAATCCTAAAAAATGTCGCGCTTCGCGCGAGAGAGGAAAAACTAAATTCAAACGAGATTTATTTTTGAGAACGGTACAACGAACCGTTTTCTTTTTCTAATAATTAAATGAAACGTCAAAGCTTCCGCGTTTCGCGGAGGAGGGAGGGGGAAATTCACCCCTCCCCGCACCTACCCCCCCCCCCGCATCATGTCACTGTTGGTTACCATTACGTACCAATATTTGGCTCGCAAAATTTCAAATTTGGGCCCCCCCCCCCCCTAAGAAATCCTGGATCCGCGCCTGCCAGAACTCAACCTTCTCTTTAAGTATCCCGGTGGATGTAGGACTACCATCGTTACAAACAAGTTATCGTCAGATATCATCTGCTCTATAAATTTCCCCGTTTTTTTAAATTTTTCCTTGGACGATATAGATTCAATTCTTGCTGACTGAATGAAATAATGTCAGCACACTTTGACATAATCATTACATTTTTCTAATTTCTGACTTGATTTACGGCGAAGTCAACCTACTGATTTCCAAAAAATATTCTCAGCTCAGATTTCTTTCAAGTTGCTTTAAATGTTTTATTTTTGTTGTAGCCCTTAAGCTGACGTACCAACTGCAAACAGGCTGATACATTTTGCCTCCCTGCTCATAACTTTCCGAATACTCCCTTCCACTGGAATAAAATTGTTTCCATCTATCTAACCTACTCAGGCGTGGACCCAGGATTTCTTAGGGGAGGGGGCCCAACATCTTTTTTTCCCGAAAATTTGAAAATCGCGCAGGCCGAAAAGTCGCTCAGTGGGGGGGGGGGGGCAGTCTACATACCTTAAATAACTTCCAATTACAATCAATACCAACATTAATGACAGAGCAACTCCGTAGATAATTACACTGGCTATGAGAATATGTCATTATACGACAAATGCTGTACAAGTAAAACACACAATGTTGCAAATTTATTCTAGAATAATATAAACCGGAACCCAAATTCCAGAGCATACGTCAGATCACCCTATAATGAATTATCTTCAATCATTTTCCCAGGAGCACTTCATGGATTTATTAAACTTCATTGATATACATAAATATTCTGTTTATAAAAAAAAAAAAAAATACAATGCAATGTAACAAATCAATATTCGGGTTGTAAACATAATATATATATCATATAAATAAATGTACAATGCAGTTTATATAGCAAAACAGAAGGAAAATTATATACATCAGTAACACTCTTTTTTTCTTTTTGTTATAACATGATACATAATGCATAAAGTAAATAATATAAGGTACCATAATACATAACTGAATATTTAGATATATAAAACCTAATAAAGCAATTTCTAAATAAATGATAACTCATGCTTTACGAAGTAAGTAAATGAGGTACGTGGAATGCCTAAAACAAATGACGTAATAGTACTTATATGCGACCTATACTGTAAAATTAAACCCAAAACATAAGAGTGTAATTTTTTACTTTGTTATTACATAGTATCTAAAAGTTACCCCTCACTGCAATTATGGTGAACGAACTTTATTGTCGAATCTTATTATAAACACGTACTGCCCTACAATTAGGCCTACCCCACTTACAACATGTATGACACCCTAGAATTAGTTTTCTGATCTAATCTCACAATATAGAAAGGTTAACCATATTCAATTTAAAATACAAAGCTGGTGTACGTGTAACTTTGATTGCGTCATACAGCCGTTAAAGCCCGTCTGCACTAGTTGGCCAGGGGGATTAGACCTCCCTGCAAGGTCACTGACAGGTGGTTATCTCATCAAATCAGCTCTCAATAAAAAAGGGGGATCATTGGGGACCAACAAGCACCGATTAGGCATCGTTTGCCGTATAGGGGGCGCAATTAGCTATAAACATGAAAAGTGATGAATTTCTACTGAATGTGTATATTCCAGACTCTGGTCGGTTCTTCATAATATATTCCCTACAATTTATTCAAGCCGCCGAAGATGGCGTTATCAACGATTCTTTAAAGGGACATTAAAGGTATTACAAAGTTTTGGTATGGGGTCATGAATTTGGTTCAAATTAACATATTGGAAGCATATGCGTTCCTACATTATTCATTGATCGTTGTCCCGGTTGAAATCGAGTCTAAAGTTATGAAATTATAAATAATAAACTCTTTATGTTGTATAGCTTCCTCTCAAGGTCAAGATATCAATTTAACTATGAAACAATGTTTCTTTACTAAAAATCGACCGATTAGCTATTCCCGTTTGGAAATTATATTATATCACAACTACATATTCTGAGATTTTCATGGTCGCAGCTACCATTGTACGGCCGTAGGCGCTATTTGAAATTTATCAAAATTTACCGGGAGCACCGGTAAATTTTTGTATTCAACTTTTCTCGAAAACAGAAGTGTTTTAGAGGTTAATTTTTTTAGTGCTTATAATACATCCAAAGGGGCATCCAAATATATCAAAATTGTTAAGATTCACCATCCACCCAATTTTCAAAATTTCCCAAAACTTTGTATTACCTTTAACTCATATTATACGCTCACCAGTCAACACTAGTGTGGCTAGAAGGGATAAGACCACACAGCGAGGTCACTGACAGGTGGTTTTCTCATCAACTAAGCTCTCAAATAACATAAGAAATAGAGGATCATTTAATTCATAAATAATATTCTGCAGTTGTGAGTCGGTCAAAGGAGGTGCACACCGTCTTATTTTTTGTTTGTTCGATCTTATGTTTGATTCTATGATTGACCTCTTGTATGTATGTTTGATCTCACTCTTATCTTATTTTTTATTATTATATATGCATGATTTATTAAAAAGAACAGATGTATAAGTTGTGTGTTTATTATAAATTTTGGTAAAAAAAATTATTGTTTAGTCAGAATATGGTGCGCTTAGAGACACCAGTATTAAGCGCCTTATAAATATTGTGTATTATTATTATTATTATCATGGGGGACCAACAGGCACCGATTGGGGAAGTTTTCTATATAGAGGGAGCAAGTAGCTACAAGTAGGACAGTGGGGCTTTAAGCACGTTTTCGCCAGGCGTCCTAATTAGAGGTAAGTCCACTCCAAAAATATTGTGCTTTGATTGGATGCAGAAAAACGTGAGAAACAAAGCAAAAAAAAATTGAGTAAAATCGGATAAATAATAAGGAAGTTATAATTTTTTTTAAAGTATGAAAAGGTATCGGGAACAATGGAAATCACTACACAAAATTACCAATTTGGTTATTAGTATTCATCAATTCCTTTATATATTTTTATTCCATTAATTTCCCTTTTATCCCCCAAAACTTGATTTCCCCATGCCTTTGCCCCGGTTAGATGATTTAAAAAAAAAATCATATTGCGTGCATGACATTTCACAAAATCTTTTATGAACTTTGAAGAGTCGACACTGTTTTCTGAATATTGTATATTCATAATCATTGATTTTTATATAAATAGTTAATAAAAATTCACATTTTTCATGATTTAACTGAAAAAATTACTCTTTATATTAGTGCATCCACGCAAAAACATTATACTATCAATATAACTTGGATGCTGGTGTTAGGAATAAGATTATTAGGGGGAAATGACACATTTATATTAACAATATAAAGAAGAAGAAACATTAGTGGATAATGAGGCAATGACGTCACAGACTCATGAGTGAGTTGTCAATTTGTCTTATGATTGTCATAGTGTTTAATGTCATTAAAACAAATCATAACTTTCTTAATAGCTATCCGATTTTGCTCAAACCTTTTTTAATTGGTCTGTCTGATTTTTCTGCTTCTATTGAATCAAAGTTATTGAAGTGGACTTGCCCTTAAATGAGTACGCCATCTTCGGCTGGCAACACAACTAGTAGGGGGAGGTCGCATATTGCGATGGTGTGGTGGAGACCAAAATTTCAAAAGGCCAGGGGGGTGTTTCACAAAGATCCTAAGTTGAACTTATCTCTAAGTTGAACTTAAAAATTATGGAAAGCCGTTAGCATCCTTGAAAATATTTTCTAAAAGTTATTTTAAAAGGCATAAAATATTGATTCAAATCATTCATATTTTCTATTACCATGGGAGATTTCATGTTCTTGATGTGGAATTTATGAAAAGTCTAAAATACTTGAATTTTCGCTTTTTAATATATTTCATTATAAGGCTACAAATGGCTCTCCATAATATTTAAGTCCAACTTAGAGTTAAGTTCGACTTAGAATCTTTGTGAAAACCCCCCTGATTCTGGACTAGTGGTTGTACTGAAGATGCCGTTTCGTCATAATCATCAGGGGGATGTTGCGATGCCCTTATCCTTAATCCTTAAAGACAAACTTATGGTGGGGGTCACTGGCGTCTTCGTCTCCTGCTCGGTACCTCCCAGACCTCCCCCAAAGCAAACCGGCAGCTGATTCCTAAACTCTGTCAGTCGGGACCAAATGATTATGGGATTGAGCACCGGGCTCAGGCATAAGATATTAAAGGAGACCCTGTCCATGTGAACGAACCAGCCTCTGTCTCCATACAGCTGCAGCCCTTCCAAGATCTCCACGACACTCATCGGGACCCAACACAAGCATGTCGAGCCAACCACGAGGCCGAACGTGAGGACGATCTTCTGATGAACTTTGATCCGTTGCTGGAGGAACCTGTCCGATTGTCCCACATTTCTCGACGTCGACGATATCCTCTGATAAATGAAGCCATAACACGTTGCAGTTACAAGCATGGTTGACCAGAGGACGATTGTCAGAGTGAGCCTGGCAAGGATAGTCTTGATGTATTCTTCGAATTTGACGAATAGGTAATAGAGGACGAAGACAAGGAGCCAACTACAGAGACAGACCATAATCGATCGGCATGGGGTGATAATGTCACGATTTCCGAAGGGGTCCACGCGAAAGACGACGAATCGTTCGACAGCGATTGCAAGTGTTGTCAGAATGGAGACTATCAAGGCAGTTGCGAAGAGGAGTTCAGTCCAAGGTGTGGGCGTCAGCTGTACAAGGATTTAAGAATAATAGGAAGGTAATATCACGTCTTTATGATTGTAACACCACAATATTATTGTTTTTACTAAACATGTTTTTACTAAAAAATAGGTAGATCCTAGGTCTAGACTCTGTCGATCATAATCGTCAATTATTCCGCTAACCAACAATTAGCAGACACGCCTTCCGTCTTTTGTATTATAAAAACAATATGCGTGATAAAAGGTAGGACCGTTCATTGTGCACAAATTTAGGAGGAATCTCACGGATTGACAGCAATGGTTCCCTCTACATTTATTATCGATTGTTTTCATCCGAAAGAACACATTCTGCGGTAGCAATTTGAGAAATTGTCTACTGCAATTCAGGTAGTGTAGAATTTAATGGTCCGAAAATATATTATTGTCATGATTGTGGACCTCGAAAATAATGTACTGTATAAGCCTGCCATAAATAATTATTTTGTAAAGTGCCTCTTCGAGAGAGGCTGGTTCCGGATTTAAGACGAATTGTTTATTTTACACTGGATCGGATGTCGAAACTAATAAGAAACCGACAAAAAAACTAGTGTTTAGGACTTTTAATTTAAACTGAAGATCTGACATGCAGTTGTACGTGTTTACGTTACCCTTCAATTTCTTCCAATACAGGCGTGTTTCCTCTGCCGGCCCCCCAAACGAGAGAGAGAGAGAGAGAAAAGAGAAAAAGGTAAGAGGACGTAGGAAGAAAAAAGGAGCAAACAAAGAATTCTTTTTTGAAAATTCAGACAAAGATTAAAAGTCGAGAAAGGTACAACGAATCATCTTTCTCTAATAATTTAATGAAACGTCAAAGCTTCCGCGCTTTGCGCGGGAGGGGGAAAACTGAATTCGGACATGGATTAAGATTCGAGAACGGTACAACGAATCGTCTTTTTTCTCTAATAATTTAATGAAACGCCAAAGCTTCGGCGCTTCGCGCTGGAGGGGAATCACTGAATTCAGGCAAGGATTAAGAGTCGAGAACGGTACAACGAATCGTCTTCTTTCTTTAATAATTTAATGAAACATCAAAGCTTCCGCGCTTCGCGCGGGAGGGGAAAAACTGAATTCAGGCAAGAATTAAGAGTCGAGTTCTAACGGTACAACGAATCGTCTTCTTTCTCTAATAATTTAATGTAACGTCAAAGCTTCCGCGCTTCGCACGGGAGGGGGGGAACTGAATTCAGTCAAGGATTAAGAGTCGAGTTCTAACTGTACAACGAATCGTCTTCTTTCTCTAATAATTTAATGAAACGTCAAAGCTTCCGCGCTTCGCGCGGGAGGGGAAAAACTGAATTCAGGCAAGAATTAAGAGTCGAGTTCTAACGTTACAACGAATCGTCTTCTTTCTCTAATAATTTAATGTAACGTCAAAGCTTCCGCGCTTTGCGCGGGGGGGGGGGGGGGGACTGAATTCAGTCAAGGATTAAGAGTCGAGAACGGTACGACGAATCGTCTTCTTTCTCTTATAATTTAATGAAACGTCAAAGCTTCGCGTGCTCACTACCGCCCCCTAAAATAAAAAGCTAGCTACGCGCTTGTGTTTCTAATCTCTAAAAACGAAGTCATCAGTTTTTCAAGGTTTATATCAACTTTTACCCACTTGTATCTACCAAGTGGGTAAAGGTTGATGAAAAACCTTGAAAAAATAATTACCTTTTTCTTAGAGATAAGAAATACGCATAGATAAGAGGAAATTAATGGTAACTTTCCATTTCATATGACCTTCTTGAATATTGTTGGGGGAATATGACGAAGATGAGATGGTTATATGAAGATTTAGATAAGATAAGTTTCAGAATATAATGAAATAAAATAGAAGCAGTATTTTAATTATGATACAAAACACTTAAGAGTGACATTCATATTTTCACTTGACTATCTCCTGGGACTGTTGAAGATATCACAATTTCATATTAATTAATTCCAAGTTGGAGGGATACGAGGGATTTTCAGATGAAATATAAAAGACATGATTTAATTTTGTGATAACAAATTTCTATGAGTAAAAGGGAAGTATATATTTTACAAAAACCTATTTGAAAACAAGATATATAAATTAAAACATGTAATAAATCAAAGTGGAACTTGAGATTTCCAACATCTGGGATTGAATGAAAATTATATAGTTAAGTTATGAAGCACTTCCAGTCAGCTGGAAAAGAAATATGAGAAAAGAGAGTGAAAAGAGCCTTGCCCCCCCCCCTCCCCCAAAGAGAGAGAGAGAGAGAGAGAGAGAGAGAGAGAGAGAGAGAGAGGGAAGGGAAAGGGAAAGAGGATATAAAGGGAAAGAAAGAAGAGGAAGAAGAAAAGAAAAAGGGGGAAAAGAAGGGGAGATCAGTTGTGATTAAAGATAAACTTGAGTTCTGGTAATGCGATTGCATTGTGAAAGAAAAGGTGTGGAATGGATCAGAAAAGTTGATCATATAGCATGTTAGTAATGGTGTGTAATGCAAGGTTCTGGTGTCATCAAAATCATCATTAATTTGGCAGAGTCTTGGTAAAGTAAAATTCACTTACACAGAAAGATGTATATGGGACAACACACATGGTGTCGGGGCTAGTACTACCCTGATTTCCTTATGTTTCTATGCTCATTACTCAGCCAGTGTACATTTTCTTCCAAAATTGTTTGGCACATGACATTTATTTGTAATCTTGAACATTCAGTGTAAGTTTCGTTAGATTCTGTGAGAATTCATTTTCTTTTTTTACCAGAACTCAAGTTTATCTTTAATCCAGCCAACAACATGTGGATCGGGGGCCAGAGAGGCCCTTGCCTCCCCCCAGCAAACTGAAAAAAGAGAGAAGGAAGAAGGGAATGGAAAGGGAAAGAGGAGAGAAAGGGAAAGAAAATAAAGAGGAAGAAGAAAAGAAAAGGGGGAAGAGAAGGGAAGATCAGTTGCGATTTGTATCGCTTCTTCTTTCATCATTGTACAACTATGTATTCATATATTTTTTTATTTTATTCCTGTTTGATAACAATAATATGAATATAATCTCATAACAGCAATAAAACAAAATGCAGAAGAAAAATATTTTTCAGGCAGAAAGTAACGCAAAAAACGATCATGCATTTGCATGTAAGTGTATCATTAGAATAATAGTATTATACATATTGTTTTATTACATCTTGAGAAATAGTATGCATGCACGATTTTGTGGAACTTTTTTGCGTATTTGTATGAAAGAAAGCGTTTAGAACTTACAATGCACATGATGCGATTTCAGGTGCAATTTATTGTGTGAAACGCCTTGTCTAATACTCGAATACTCTTTTACAGATTTTTTACAGTCATACTGTGCAAACCGAACAATTTTGTTTATAATCATGTCAGTCACAACCTTTCTAAACCTGACCCAATATGGGACACGCACGGCCAGGCACTAGTGTAGGAAATCTTCAAATGTTAATCAGTTATATGACAAAGTAACCTATTTATTGCCTTACGAAAAAGTATATATTTAGTCAGGCCTGAATTGAGTGGCAAAGCAATTACTAGTATTGTGTTAAAAGGAAAAAAAATATTTGATGACATTCCAAATTCTCCAATAACCAATACGAATGGAGAGTGAGTACTCGCTTTTGTTCTTCTTCAAAACTTACTCAATAAAAAAAAGTATTATTAGCTGGCCCCGGATGCTTGAGCCTTTCACGAAACGCAAGTAGGTGTCTCAGGCACAGGCCTGAGGTGTCTTTCCATTTTCATGTCGTTGCTCTGTGCACGCTATTTTGTATGAGAGGGTGGAGTATCCGCCTATACAACTTTAATCGTATACAACTACAAGTTGTCTTTCTTGGCATGTTTGTTCCAAAGAACCTGCTACGTATACATTTGTAAAAGTGATATAGTAAAAACAAAAGGTCTTTTCACTCTGGTTCTGAAGGGTATAAAACACAACTTGTAATCATATTATTGTTATCATAAGAAGAACATCAGTTAAGACATGTTCCCTGAAAAGTATGGCTCTTCAAATGCCTTCATATTCTAAATATGCATGTAACATCGTAAAAATCGGGGGGGGGGGCGGCTTTTTACGCCACGTGTTCGTGTAGTCTCATATACATCTTTCTGTGCAAGTGTTTGTAACTTTACCAAGACTTGGCCAAATTTCTTATCATTTTGATGATTCCAGAACCTTGCAATACACACAAATTCTTATATGCTAGATGATCAACCTTTTCTGGTCGGTTCCACACCGTTTCTTTCACAATGCAATCGTATGACCAGAACTCAACTTCATCTTTAAAGGGAAAGTCCACCCTGAAATTAAGTTAGTTTTAATAGGAGTAGAAAAATGAGAGAAACAAGTCAGTGAAAGTTTGAGCAAATTCCGATTAAAAATAAGGAAGTTAGGATTTTTGAAGTTGTGATCAATCAAACACAAATTGGCAACTCTATGACGTATCATGCGAGCTCAACTTCCATTTGCTCAGTACTAAAAAAATCTAAAATTTTCATTTTCCCTCAAGAAAAATTTCAACCATACATGCACCCTAAATATAATAATTGCAAATATGTTTCTATACTCCCCCTGCAAGGAACAAATATTAATTCCGTCATCAATAACGAAGAAAACATGATTTTATGGAATATTATGCACAAAGCAAATGAAGGAGAGCTCGTATAATAAGTCACAGAGTTGCCAATTTGTATTTGATTGATCACAACTTCAATAATTCATAACTTTCTTATTTTCATTCAGAATTTGCTCAAACTTTCACTCACCTGATTTTCTTATTATTCTGCCTCTATCGAAACAAACTTATTTTGGGGGTGGACTTTCCCTTTAACAATCTCAGAACTTTCTTCCGGCGGGAGTGAAAGCCCTCCTTCCCACGTTCTGAACAAGATGTGGGTGTTATATTTCGATACGACAGGCGTGGTATTTGCTTTTGCGCCCCTCTCGCCCTCCCCCCACTGAACAACGAGACCAAGCGCCAGATACGCCACTGGTCACCACTGACGTACTGATTGGCGGGGGGGGGGGGGGGGCTTGGGGCCAGTTGCCCAAATACAAACGTGGTTTATTTCTAATTCGATACCAGTGATTTATAAATGATGCTGAAATGACATGATTTTCCGGGCACCCACTTTTTTTTTTTGGGGGGGGGGGGGGGAGAGCTCACTTCGTAAGAAAATATTTAGCAGCGATTTATCCAGCCGGTGAATAAGCAGGGGGCGGGGTGGATAATGGAAAGGAGAATCACTAATTCGTTTTGGTGTTTGCGAATTTTTGATATGTGTTCTTAAACAACAGCAATATATTAATCAAAGTAAGGCGTAAGTTCATGAAGAGAGAGGAAACAGTTACGTCAATTAAAGGTAATACAAAGTTTTGGTATATCGCCATGAATTTGGTTCAGATGAACATATTGGAAGCATATGCGATCATACAATATTCTGTGATGGTTTTCGCGGTTAAATGTAGTCTAAAGTGATGAAATTGTATATAATAAACTGTTTATGTTGTATAGCTCCCTCTCAAAGTCAAGATATTAATTTAGCAATAAAACAATGTTTCTTGACTAAAATCGACCAATTGGCTATTCCCGTTTGGAAATTATATATCACATCTACATATTCTGAGATCTGCATGGTCACAGCTACCATTGTATGGCCGTAGGCGTTATTTGAAATTTATCAAAAATTACTGGAAGCACCGGTAAATCAAAAATTACTGGAAGCACTGGTAAATGTTTATATTTAATTATTCTCGAAAACAGAAGTGTTTTAGGGGCTAAATTTTGTAGTGCTTATATTACATCTACAGGGGCATCCAAATATATCAATATTGTAAAGAATCACTATCCAGCCAATTTTCAAAATTTCCCAAAACTTTGTATTCCCTTTAAGAGAAAGAGATTGAAAGTGAGACGGTTTGAGACTTACCCCTTTGATAAGTCTTGGCACATAAGTCATCACGATACCCATCGCTCCGATGAAATCGCACAGAGAAAGATGAAAAGCGAAAATATTTTGCTGTTTTCGTAACGCAGCGAAACCCAAGATGGCAGACATCGAAAGAAAATTCAAGACTACCGCTGAACCACAAATTGCCAGTGGGAAAATAAGCGAGACAATATCCAGGGCACTCATTGTAATAATCTTCTTTGATTATCTCGTGAAAGTTTTAAAAAAAAATTTTGAACCACTAAATCAGTGAAGTTAAAATGTAGACATGGAAAATTTCAAATAAAAATTATGTTAAGCGGTTTTACCGATTTAAAAAGTGTAGACACTTAAATGCCGTTACTTAACATCAATTGTTTTAAAGAAAGATAACATTCATAATTTTGTCCTACTAAACAGCCTCCTTGTGCCTTCGCAAAACCCTCCTGAATAAAAGTTGTATGATATATTTTGCACAAAGCTGACGATGCTATAGGGTTCTAACTAAGTGCTCAGTAGAGAACATACTAAGAAACATTACGTTATATAACTGCTCAGCCAAAATAAGATTGTGTGTGTGCGAGTGTGTGTGTGCGCGCGGGCGTATGTGTGATTTGCGTAGGGGCCATAGACAACTAAAGTAGTGGCGTGTGTTGGTGTGCGTGTGTGCGGGTGTGGGCGTGTGTGAGCGTGTGTCGTTGTCGGAGTGATGTGATTTTTTCCCCACCTCATCTACAACAGTCTCCAAGTGGTAGGAGTCGGGGCTATTATAATTATAGCTCTAGTTTAGTAGGCATGGCATGAATTATTGCTTACAAATAAAATTAACGGTGATTTTAACTGACAAAAAAAACGAACCCCCCCCCCCCCAGTAGATATTAAGAATAACAGGATGAAGAAGAAGAAGATTAAGGAATCATAAAAAAAAATTAGCAGATAGGTGGAATTTTCTCCATCTTTGTTGAGCAGATTATAGTAACTAATTATAATCATTTTTTTTTTTTTTGGGGGGGGGGGGCTGTCCGATTATGGTTTGCTTTCTTGAGGTTTTTTATTTTCTACATTTATGGCTTCTTCTATTTCCGTATTATTCTTTTCTTTCGTTTGATAAAGAAAAAAAAAGACCGGTACTATATTCTTTTTTTTTTTAAACCACAGCTTTTTGTATTTTCCATTTCCTATATAATAATAGAGAGGCACATAAATACCTACGGGCAGTGGCGTATACGCAGGATTTTTCAAGGGGGGGGGGGGGTTTAAAATCCGGTCCAAAATTTCGCAACGACTCAGGAAAATTTGAAAATCGCGTCGGCCAAAAAGTCGCTCAGTGGGGGGGGGGGGGGGGGGGGGGGGTAAGCGGACACTTTTTTTTTGGGGGGGGGAGTCCAAAAAAAAAATCGCAACGACTCAGCCAGCCGAAAAGTCGATCAGTGGGGGGGGGGGGGGGGGGGGGGGGGGGGGGGGGGTAAGAGGACACTTTTTTTTTTTTTTTGGGTCTCGAAAATTTGACATTTTGCTCCGTCGGGGGGGGGGGGGTAGGTTCACCTTTCTTAGGTCAGCCATGGGGGTAATTTTTTTTTTTTTTTTTTTTTTTAATAATTAAAAAAAAAAAAAAAAAAAAAATCCAAAGGGGGGGGGGGGTTTTAGTGATTTTATAGGGGGGTTTACACACATAAAAATACCAAAGGGGGGGGGGGGTTTAACCCCCCAAACACCCCCCCCCCCCCTGCGTACGCGCCTGCCTACGGGATAATACAGAATACAGAATAATACTTGGGTTTTTCGTCTCTTGTCCAAATATCAGCTTTTAAATGACCAAGCGAAGTTTAGGTGAGCACATGCAGAAGACAACCTATCCATTGGAGTCCGACGTCGCTGCTCGTATATTCTTAATATATAAAATAAACTATGATTGTCTTTCGCCCAATATAAACTTTCCAATTTCTGAAATGCAGCGAGTGAGCGAAGCGAGGGAGAACAATGTAGAGACTTTAAAATGCTGTGCATGCACTATTACATATATAGGTTTGTTATAATATAGTACCGTCTACTTTTTGTTTAAAAAATTCCGTTTTCAATGAAATAGAGGTCGTACAAAATGGCGTCCCTTGGAGGTTCGATCAGGGGCGCGGGAAAATTGATTGAAATAAGGAACGATTCCCTAAAATAAGGGGCGTCTGGTCAGCCCTGTGTTAAATATTGGTGCAATGGTCGTTTTTACGAGGAGACCTGTTGAGAGTCTAGCAGCCTTTTCACAGCTAAAATTCTATAAACATGGTTAGTTTAAAGGGCTTTAAACTAATCAGCTGTACATACGACATCCTTCACACACAGAAATTTCGGTTCGATCGTTAATCGTTTCGTGATGCTCTTAAAATGCGCAGTAGTGCCATTGCGCATTGAAGGTCAGGTCATATCAAACAAAGCGCACGCTCCATCCAGTTTAAACACGTTTAAACCGTTCACACACAAAATGTCAAACTCTCGAGATACGAACTTCGTATCTGCAGCCTGCTTTGAGGGGCGTATGAATCGCGACTTCGTATCTATCCGAACATCGTATAAACGATGTTCACACAGGGAAAATTTTCTTTAAAAGTGTTTAAAACTGTTGAGTTAAACATGTTTATACTAATCATCTCTAGATACGATGAATTTTAGCTGTGTGTGAAAAGGCTGTAGGATTGGCACGACTCGTAAAACCCGAGGGAATCGTCGCCTGGCGATTCGGTTACTTCATTTCTGCCGATCTTGTATTCACCAAATGAGGCCGAGGACGACGGTCTCGAATGACGGGCGTGCATTTAATATGTTTCCTAAATTCAGAACGATTCAATTTCCAATCACAAAAAAGCACAATAACAGCAGGGGCGGATCTAGCTTTTTGCCAAGGGGGGTGGGGGGGGGGGGGTGACCCAATACGAAGCGGCGAGGCGATATTTTGTGTTGCTATTTTGAACCACCGTAAGTTGTTTTCCTGGTATCTACTAACATGCGGAGCATCGTCCACGAGTCGCGTAGCGGCAAGGCGATTTCTTTTGCTATTTTGAACCCCCGTAAGTGATGTTTTCCTGGCATCTACTAATACTGTATGGGTTTGGACACAATAACAATGGTGTTTTCTATGCACATCACATTTTCACTTGGCAGCCCAAGGGGGGGGGGGGGGGTAAACCCCCCTACCCCCCCCCCCCCCCCCCCCCCCGTAGATTTGCCCCTGAACAGCAACGGCTAAGGTGATTATTGTGTTGCCAGGGCAAGCAACAATATTTCTCCATCTTTCTTAACATAATCTTTGAAATTGGCCAAAAATGACAATGGCGAAAAGAAAAAAAATCAGAGAGGCGGCAGTGAGGCAGTTTTCTTTTTTTATGTTATAGATACTAAAATAGTTGAAAAATTATATGCTAAATAGAATTAGCTCATAAATATTCAACTTTCTTCTCTTTAAAGGTAATACAAAGTTTTGGTATGGGGTCGTGAATTTGGTTCAAATGACCATATTGGAAGCATATTCGATCCTACAATATTCACTGATCGTTGTCGCGGTCGAAATCGACTTTAAAGTTATGAAATTGTAAATAATAAACACTTTATGTTGTATAGCTCCCTCTCAAGGTCAACATATTAATAAAGCTAAAAAAAATTGTTTCTTGACTAAAATCGACCGATTAGCTATTCCCGTTCGGAAATTATATACCACAACTACATAATCTGAGATTTTCATGGTCGCAGCTACCATTGTACGGCCGTAGGAGCTATTTGAATTTTATCAAAATTTACCGGGAGCACCGGTAAATCTTTATATTCAATTTTTCTCGAAAGCAGAAGTGTTTTAGTGGCTAAAATTTCTAGTGCTTTTAATACATCCACAGGGGCATCCACATATATCAAAAGTGTAAAGAATCACTATTCACCCATTTTTTAAATTTCCCAAAACTTTGTAATACCTTTAAGTCTGGTTGATCATGCTGAACAAAAGGGGAATGCAATGAAGGTCAATTGTGAGGAAAATTCTTTTTTGAACTAAAAGATTATATTCAATAATGCATCTTACATTCTATGTGTTTCAACCGACGATAACAATGGGAATAAGATACCGGTGACATTGTCCTCCTCTTTGATGTATGTTTAGTATTCTAGTTCCTTACAATTGAAACTCCAATGGTTTGTCGTTTTAAAGCGCTCAGAAATGCCTACCTCGATATATATTGCATAAGGATTCAATGTAAAAATTGACAAAATAATAAACGCTCGTATATTGGATCAGAGACATATCAATAGAGAGAGATGGTGAACTATATCTTGATATTTCTTCATGAAAAGAAAAGCAACACAAAAGCACCGACGGCGTCTCAATTTGATTCCAAGTGCATTAGAACAGCGAATAACTCTATACTCCCATTCAAGAGAACGAACATTCTTTGATAAACTCTTTTCTCGTGGTGGAAAACGAAAATGCTGCTTTTTTCGACATTATAATTATCTTTCGATGGCACCTCGCCTATACCAAAGTTTAATTGATGATTCATCTCACGTTTCTGTTACATTCATTTATTAGAAGCCTGATTAGTTTCATTTGTAATGATACCCCCTTTTACTATATGATTTGTGATTTGAAATCGATCAGTTTCCTATAGCCCTAGTTGTTTAATGAATTTTCAATTGAATTGTTATTTGATTAGAATCTTTAACCTCCTCATCAACATGTGCCTGTTCTTTATAATCAACCTAATTCAGGGCCCCGTCTTAAAAAGAGTTGATATTAATCGCAACTTATTTGTGACTGATATCAATCGCAACTATGTACATAAGAGATAGGAGACTGCAAACTTGCGATTGGTTGGAGGACTTGCGATTGATTTGGATCAATCGCAATTTTATGAGATGGGGCCAGGTCTACCCTGTCTAAAGGATTTCAAAAATACACTGTTGCCTTTATAGACTAATAGTTATTTTATCACCCCTTTTAATATAATGATTGAGACAATATGGTTTATTCTTGAAAGATTCGGTTTATGTCTTCTCAGAACTTTATTGATCAATCTCTATGACTCTTTGGATTGATCAATACACTTCTGGGAAAATCTAAACCATTAGTCAAAATCGCTACACGAAAAGAGGTAAGGAAAATTATTTCAACTTTATCGGCAACAGTGTATTTCGTTTCTTCTCAAATTCACTCTCCTTGTACGTCTCTAGAATTTCATAAAATACTACTCCGTTTTCGCCTCCTATATATAATACATTTTAAATCCAGACCTACTATATTGTGTTACTCAGTACGGGAGCCTATTCACATACAAGCTATGCTTTTTATTTATAGGCTCCCCATATTTTACATTGTTCTACCTAAAGCCTGTTATATACAAATTTCGAAATTTCGTACTTATTTTCCGTACATTATATTTGATTTGAATTCTTTAATTTTGTCTTTAATTTTTTTCATGTGTGAAATCTACTCTTATAATAATATACGCCTGTACAAAAAAGAAAAGA